TTACGCTTTATTATTGATTTTAAATGCTTACGTAATGAAAAGGAAAAAGTTTACTCGCATTTTTAAATGAACTGCTATGATTGTAACTGCGGTAAATATCATAATCAATGTTAACAATACCGGCATACAACGAGCTGTTACAATTTCAGCCTCATTTGTCATTTACCCATTTTCTACCTCCAAATCTTTCTCGTTTCTCATCTTTATACTAAGCCATCAAGATTGTATTTCATCCCACCATCTCCAAAGCCTTTATCTTATGAAATCATTGTCATCCCACCATTTAATGATCATTTTTTGTGAAATAGGTTTTATCTAAAAGTGAATGGAAATAAATGAAAAGAACTCTCAAAGTCTATCAATGGTGACTGGTCATGCAGAAGAGAAGATGCAGAAATTTTGTGGGTTTGAAGAGAAGAAACAAGAAGAAAACACCTAAAGACACCTAAAAGTTAAACTAGCCATTTTTTTTTTATTTTTCTCTTCTTAGGTTGGTCATGATGCCCAAATTGAGAGGAAGAATTGACTTGTACAATAGGAAGCTTAGTAACTTAGTAATTAAGCTTACTTTGTTAACCATTATTTTGACCTATAAGAATTTTCATTGGTTGTTTTTATTACAACTTTGACCTAATTTTAATAATTAATCTAATCATAATTAGATTCATCTAAGGTCACTTTATACCTATATAATTTGCCATACAATTTAACTAGACTGATAGAATTCAGTTCAAACCTAATTTAGTCAAATTACCAAAATAACCTTGTCTTTACCAAATTGGCATCCATGCCTTCCAACATAAATTATACTTCTTTTAGGTCCTAATAGACTTGTTAGGCACGAATTGTATCCTCATATTCATAATTATGATAATTTCATGATTTAAATGTCATAATTCTCACTGAACTGAAAATTAACTCTTAAACATGTACTTAATTTCTTATTTAGCAAATCTTAATTGTGAGGGTTGTTATATTGCGCACTGGTATATGAGTACATCGCCTCATCATCATCATCCCCTTCCTTCTCAGAAGCAGACTCCTTAGCAGCAGCAGGCTCCTCCATAGTGCGTGGACCCTGTATGTACCCTACCTTTAAGCGTCCCACTCAGATTCCATATGAGACTGCCACCCATCCTAGTCTTGTCTAAATCCCCTAAACTCATGTGTCAAGGTCTCTAGTCCCCATGTCAACTTATGAATGGATGACATGACATGATTAATTTTCCATCCACCCTCAGGAGCTAGAGGATCTGATGGTGAGGGAGAAGTGCTCGTGCACTAGCCCTTTAGGAGTAGGAACAACAACATTATCAATTATATGAGGAACAAGAATATTAAATATTAACATTTTGACAAATTAAATATTAAACATGATCATCATCACCTACAAGTGCATCCACCATCTTAGCATCATGGTGAAGGTTGACTTCAGATGGCAATGGTGCAGTCTTCCACTGCCACACACCCTCGGCCATCTTCTTAATACCACACTGTTTGAATAGACGCTCGTCGAACCTGGCATTCCAGCCCGTCTGAGTCCTCAAGGTCTCAATATGCATAGGCGCATCAAATCTATGCAATATCTTATACACCAGGTATACATAGGGAAGTTCAGCCTTTCAGGATTTTGTAGCCTTATGCTCAGAATGCATATATAGTGCTTTCAGTTCACCCTAATGTGGTGAAGGATGGACCATATAAGAACAAAATCACCCTCCGGCACCTTCGAGTGATTATGCGAGCCGTGGAAAACAATGTGTGTGATGACAAAATGTAATATATGGGCAGTCACAAATAGCTTTCTCACAGGATATTGAGCAAACTGGCCAGGCTCTGCATCAGCCCTTCGGGTCTCCTCAATAATCGCCACCCGATTAAAACCATGAAAAACATAATGGGAGTCTGCTTCGTACTGGATTGCATATGGTACAACATCAAAGTCATAACCCAGAAGCTCTGTCCAGGCAGGGGAAGTCATGATAATATCAACCCCGTAGATGCGACATGTAAGCTCGCCTTGTGAGTAGTGGAGGTTCTGGTAGAATGCCCTCACCATAACCTCCAAATACGGGCATTCCATCTCAGCAAGCACCAAGAGATGTGTTTGTCCCAATAGTGTCACAATGTTGAACCCCTCCAAGGTAAAGAACGTCGAATCTAGTGATTTCTACTCACAAATGGCATGGCTCATGAAGGACTTCACGAACTGATTGTGTGCTGTGATGACATCCACAAATAAATATCCAAATGGCATGTCAGGAGCCTACTCAACAGCTGGCTAAGGTTGAGAGGTTAAGGACCCGTCATGGCAGCGCATTGTCTTTCACTCGGTGGGCACGACTTTCTTCAAGCCACGCTTGTCAGTCATTTTTCATAATTTCAACCTGAAAAAACTCAAAGGTTCTATCAAAAAACACAAAACATGCAAAAAAAAAGACAAACAACCAATTGAGAATATAGTTGGAGGCTACCAAAAGGATGATAATATGTTTCAGAGGCACCTGAAACAAAATCAATTGAAGTATTGTAAATTGTATGACTTGAACATAATGATTAATTTTTATACTTTAAAAAGCAATATGTTGGAGGTTGATACGCCTTAAAGGTTAGGAAAATCATGTAGGAAAATCATCTCTTACACTTTTGCTATATTAGATAATTTAGAAGTTGATTGTAAATAATTTTCTAAATATATCTGGGACTTTATATTGTATGTTTCATCCCATTTTTGGGTTAGGGTTCATCCAAAAAAGTTAAACCGAAAGCACTATAGACACATGCAAAAGATCCACAACAGATGATACTTTGATAATCCCAAATAAATTCTGCACTAAAGACACAACTCAAGTCTACAACTCTTATATAACGATCAACCGTCCTTCTAAGTCAATGTATGAGTTAGGCACAAATCTATTGGACTCAAAAAGTAGCTTTGACATCTTCACGCTTTCAATTTAGTTCATCAACATAGAGATGTTATGAAATGTGTAATATTGTAAAGGCAACAAATTAGAGACTAAAATTTAACAAATCAGGTTATGTCTTTTGCCTAACTAGCATTTGTTTCTCTATGAAAGCACTAGTCAAACATTCTCTCATATAATTTGTCTACAAATGAAATAAAAACTGAATTAAATGGTCAAAACATTGCAGTAACCAGACCAAGCTTGATTCACAAGACCAAAAACACAAAAAAATGAAAAGAAAAGAACACCCAAACCAATTGCCAGGGCATACCTAAGTTATATGGATTGCAACGGTGGTGGAGGAATAAAATGCAAACGCATGTGGATGGAGACGATGAAGGTGAGAAAGAATGTGAGGGAAGGAATGCGATACCCGAGTATAGTGTGTGAGAGAAGGAATGTGAAATGAGGGTTTTTAAAAAACCCATTCAACGCGTTATACTCGAGTATCCCCGCTGATACTCGAGTATCCCCGCTGATACTCGAGTAACTAATTCAAAGAATTCCTCATATTATGAGCAATACTTGGGTAGCCCATATGTGTGCTCGAGCATAGCATTTTTCCTATATGATACTTGAGTATATTGTTGGATCAACGACCAAATAGGGATAGATGTGTGAAATATTTTGGCATGGGTCGAAGTGGTAATTTTTTATTAATTAAGGGGCACAATAGTAAAAAAAAAAACCATTAAAATTTCCTATGAAAGAAGTGCTGCATAACACGAAATAGATTTTTACAAATTCCTCAAGAATTATACGTAGCATTTACATAAAGCTCACATGTTACATTTTTTGTATTACAGTCTGTAAGATTGTAATGGCACATTCGTACGCTACAAACGCATTTCATCAATGACATAATATTCTATCGTAAATGATTTCATAAAAATATTTTTAATATTGCTCATTTCCCATATAAGAAGTGTTATATATAGCATGAAAGGGATTTCACAAATCCCACTAGCCCTTGTCCGATTTATTAACTGAAAATTAATTTTTCAAAAAAAATTATGATATAATATTTTTAATTTCTTTTTCAAAAGTTGATATTCTAAGCTTATAAAAAACACTAAAATCAATTTTTTTATGATTTAAAAAAAATTAATTAACTGTTATTAAAAAATTAAACATTTTTTAATTGAAAAATACTTAGGTGGTGTTTGGTTGAAGAGAAGTAAAAAATTAAACATTGTTTAATTGAAAAATACTCTGTCTTCACCACGTTTGGTCGGGGATTTTCAGTAGATTTTCCCATCTAACTCACTTGGCTAGGAAACGAGAAAGAGGACCAAAAACTGGAGAAACGCACTGTTCAGAAACCGTTTGAAGATGTTGAATTGTTGTTCAAAATCGGATAAATGAAAAAGGTGATGAAATGTTGGTCAAGTTTACCCCTGCTTCAGTTTACTGCGTAAGAAAAAAAATAGGTTCTAGAGGGCATTTACTGCGTTTGGAGCTACTCAAGGTATTTTATTTCTACTTTCATTTTGATTTGAGAAAATACTGAGTTTCAATTCTTGTAGGTTTTTCACTTTCCATGTAGATTTGTTAATCTTGAATGCTGGTTTATGCGAGTGAAATGAGAGTGGTAGAGAATGAGAACGAAGAACCCAATATGAAGAGAGCAAAACAGAGTGATTCTGTAAATTTCATTCTGTTTTGTTAATCTTAATTTCATTCTGTAAACCCAGGTTTGTGCGATGGAAAACCTTGCTGGTTTTTTTGAGGATATTTTTGTAAATTTCATTAAATTTTACCATCAATATTTTATCTTCAACCAAATACATATTCAGAAATTTAATTCAATTTTCCTGGTAAAATTTTGCCCAACCAAACAACTTTTTTACAACTTTTCTATCTAACTCATTTTTCCTCCAGATACTTAGTATTTACATTTCCCTAGTATTAAAAAATTTCTCCGCAAACAAACACTACCTTAAGAAAAAAAAAAAAAAAACCACAAACAAACACAGAAAGAAAAAAGGGAAACTACCTATATAAAGCAATTTTTGCCCCAAGCAGGTCGTTTGGTTTCGACGTCTATTCTATTTTTCTGTGCTCTCTTTATTACACAAAACGGTGAGCGATTCATCGATACCCTCTTTGGTGTCGTTGCTCTTCAAAGACAAATCTTCATTCCTTTCATCACCGATTAGGTTAGTCTCTTGTACTTCTCCTACCAGCGTTGTTTTTTATTTTTTGATTTGTGTTTTTCTTTGGGTGTGGAATTGGACCCTATTAGGGTTTGTACGTTGGGATCTTATTGTTTAAATTGATTGGGATTTTGCTTAAGTTAATTTCACTGCTTGTAAATTTTCACTCAATTATCACATGAGTGCGTCGTTGTGGCATTTTTTATCCCTTAGTTTTGAGCTGGTAGCCATAGCCTTTGTTTTGTTATATGATTTTCTCGGTGTGCAGGATCTGGGTTTTTATTGGTTTTACAAATTTACATGCATCGTACTTAAAAGGGTATTGGAATAGTGTCGAAGATTGTTTTTAGCGAGGTCCTTCTGGGAAACTTAGGTCATGTCATGGTATGCTACTGTTACTTTAGATATCATCGTTGATGCCAAAGTCAGAGAAAAAATTTGGTATTTTTATCATTAAGTAGCCAGAATATAGGCTGAACGTTGGGTAGTTTTAATTGGTGCGGCTGTTATGCATACTCCGGTGGTGGTTTTGAATGTAATTATCAATAATGGGTTAGTAAAGTGGTTGTAGATAAATTAAAACTTTGGAGCATTGGCATTTTAAAAATTTTCCCATGAATTTCGATTCTAAGTAGGATTTTGTTGTTATTTGGCAGGTATTAAACTTTAAATGAGAGCAATAGGAAGGGGATGTTCCTAGACTATTCTTCTACAGTGTCCTTTTTTAAAATCTTATTTTGTGTGTCAGCTCATATTTTGGCTCTGTTTTGGATGCTTCATGCCAGCTTATTGACATGGCAGAAGTGTAGAATGTCTGTCATGGATCTATCAGTTCAGATCAATAAACAAGTGAAAATCTATATTGTCTTGAACAAAGTGGAAATTTTAATTTGGGTTGACGTTTTTTCATTTTTTTGAAGGCTTGCCTCTTGTCAATAATGGTTTTTGAATTTGAAGGTTACACTCTTTGTAGTATATGTTAGTCCGTTGGAAGAATTGGTATCATGATTTCACATTCAGTGAATCTGTTGTCAATTGTTCATGTTTACACTTCTATTATTATTACAGATTTCATAATACTGTGGCTTTTCTGTCATATTTTATATCCTCATCATTTATGAATGATTTATGGTGATGTTTATTGTTTTCTTGATGACTTCTGGTTTGGTATTCATGTTTATTGTTCTTGTTCACTTTGTTTGTGACTTATAATCTTTATTAATACATTAATGTACAACACTATTTTCTTTTTGAAGTTTCAAATGACGCTGTATATTCGAAAGAAACAAAGTCTGACTTTAAATTTAACTGCATCATCTAAAGAGCTTTGAAGCTTGCTTGTCAAACAGTGAGTTGCTGTAAGCTACATTATTCCTTTTGGCTCTTAGCTAATGGATAAGGGACCTCCACCTAGCCTTTTTGTTAATGACGGTTCGTTCATGGAGAGGTTCAAACAGCTTCAACAAGAGCAGGAGAAGGGGAAGAATGCCAAATTAGAGGATTCTAAACCAATTAAAGTTGTTTCAGGGCCGCTGACTCCTAGTCCCAACATTAGTAAGGCTAATGATGCGCGCAAAACTTTCCAGGCTGGTTCCAGTGGCAAACTTGCTTTCAGTTTAAAACAAAAGTCAAAGCTAGTGCCGCCTCCTGTTAAGTTGGCTGATGAAGATGAAGAAGAAATGGATGCTGGAGATGTTTCAAATGATGCACCACCAAAACGGCAAAAATTGGGTGAGGAGGATGGCATTGAGCAATCATCAAGACAACTTGATGTTGGTAATTACTTCTCACATATACTTTCTGCAGATAGTTGGCTTGTGGTTGGTATTCCCGCCAAATGCAGGATTTTGGTAGGAAATGTCAAGTAACGTAAATAAAATAGTGGTTCTATATTCTGAATGTGATTTGGTATGCCAAGCGAATTTTTGGTTTAAAATCCTTGCTATTTATTAATTAATTTTCTTTTTTTTATGTTAATGTATGCAATAAACTGTTTTTCTAACTTTTATGTCCTTTTCAAATGATTGTGGGTTTTTATCTATTGAGTGCCTGTTTGGAATATCTTTTTTTTAGCTTCTCTTCTCTTTATAAACAAATGTTAGGCCAAAGAGGTTTTTATAAAAGCTCGTTATAAACAAAAAAGGTAAAAGGTAAAAGCTCTTAAGAGAAGCTTTTTTCTTAAGATGTATGTCATCTTTTTTTGACTCCTCATTTATGTTACAGTTTTATCCTTATTCTAAACTTGTATTTATAAATTTTATCATTGACCTTAATAATTCATTCTAATAATAAATTATTTTATCTCTCCTCCTTTAAAACCATCATAACAACTTTATATATTCACCAAACAGAGTTTAGCTTTATTTTTTGGCTTTAGCTTAAAAGTAACTTTTAGCTTAAAAAAGACAGGTGCCAAACAGGCTCTGAATATGTCTTTAGTTGCTATCTACTTTGTGATTCTGTTTCCTCCTCCTTGTTTCTTTTTGATTTGCCCTTGGAATATATCTGTCATTTTTTTCCTGTTGCTGTCTTCCATGTCAGTTTATGTAAAACTATTTTTTCATTACCTTGAATGAGAATGAGTTACCTGTTACTATTTTTTGCATCTTTAAAAATTTGTTGTTGCCTTGAATGCGGGTCTCCTCTTTACCAAATTTTTATCTTTTCAACCCAAAATGATTTTCACTTGAGGATGGAAGGAAGGAGGACGTAAGTGTGTGCAATCTAATAGAAGCCTGTCATTTCATTCGCACTTATGCTTTGAGTCATACAAAGTTGAGGAAAGAGTGAAATGAGTTTCATCTGGGTGATTTGTGAAGCATGTTCATAACTACCACTCAAAGTATTTAGTGAAGGAAGATCAAAGTCTGTTGCCTCAGCCCGTAGGCATACAGTTGCGTTAATACTATTTTTTGCTTTCTTTTTTCTTCTCATAAAAAAATAGAATCGTCCTCTGCGTTAAGCTCAGTTTCATTATTGGAGAGGTAATCTCGGTATATTCCTTCTTTGCTAATTGAAGTGGCATTCAGCAAAGAGGAGAAACCATCTTGAATATTTTGTGTCATGAATGCAGCTTATTCCTCAAGTTCCTATCAAGAATGGTGTATTGGCACGCTGCTACAAGAGTAATTTGCATTCCCTTGTTCATGCTCACGGTATTAATCAGTTTTATAAGTGATATGCAGCACCTCCTTCCCCAAGTGATCCTATGGTGAAGAAAGTTGCTGACAAGCTAGCAAGTTTTGTGGCTAAAAATGGAAGGCAATTTGAGGATGTTACCCGCCAAAAAAATCCTGGGGATACACCTTTCAAGTGAGTTTGCAGTGGACTCATAACCATATTGCATTGATCTTTTGCTTTTGATTCCTAATTTCTAACTCTATATAAATGTGTGGTGTTTGTTTTAACGTTAAGGTTTTTATTTGATGAGAGATGTGCTGACTACAAATATTATGAACATCGGCTTGCTCAAGAGGAAAAGGCCCTTGCGCAGTCCAGGGAACCACAGGCTTATCATAATGGTTGGTGTTTGTCATGAATTTTTGATTTTCTCACTTTCTGGGGCTAGAAATCAGTTATTGCCACATATAAGATTTAAATAATATGATAGATAAGGTAACCATGTTTTCAGAATTATTTTACAATGCGGTCAGAGGTTGAACAGCTAATATGCAGGACACTTGTTGGGATTCCTAGTCAGTTATATCTCATATTGGAGAAAATTATAATTTTACATTTTTTAAGAGTTTTTTGTCGTCACTGCAAAGGTTTTATATGTATGATATTGATGCTTGAATCAGTAACCAGCATGTAGATATTAGAAGTGTTGTTATGGTTGTGGCTTTGTTAGGCAGTGTTGCGTTTCTCTCTGATCTGTGGAATATGCTTCCTCTTTTCGCTTCACTTGGTTTATTTTAATTTGGTATATAATGGTGAACAATTTAATCCTCAGGGGGTACAAGCATTTCATCTTCCAGACCAACAAATGGCCCTCAGAGATCATCTCAGCAGAATTCAACTTACCAAATCCCTGCTTCTGCTTTATATGATAGTGCTGAAGTACCAAGGGCTTCTGGATCTTCAGTTCAAGCATTATCAGTTGGAAGCACTGGTATGGGATATTAATGAAGCAAAGTAGTTTTGATTATGTTCACTATTTGCACCTGTTGGGATCTCTATTTATCTGTCAATTTGATGAGGTTCAAGTTATAGTGGGTGGAAATCATTTTTGTTTAGTTGCATTGCATTTACTCCCCCAAAAGAATAAGATCTGAACAACATGGAGGACTCTTTTTAGTTTTCAAAAATCTTGTGCGCAACTTTTTATTGATGCATGCATTGTATATATCTGTTGCAGATGAGCCCAGTGGATTGTCAAATGCTGATTCTTTAGCGTTAATGGAGTTCTACATGAAGAAAGCTGCACAGGAAGAAAAGTTCAGGCAACCTAAGCACTCAAAAGATGAGATGCCTCCTCCTGCTTCTCTTCAAGGTTCATATTATGTTTGTGATTATTACTGGGTGTTTCTTGGTCTTTCATCAAATGGAATAATCTTTTGATTGCTTCCTTTTGGAACAGCTTCTGGGAAAAAAGGCCATCACATGGGTGATTATATTCCCCTGGAAGAACTTGAAAAGTTTATGGCTAGCTGTAATGACGCAGCAGCTCTGAAACATGCAAAGGAGAGTGCAGAGAGGGCTAAAATCCAGGCTGATAATGTGGGCCACAAGCTCTTATCAAAAATGGGTTGGAAAGAAGGTGCTTTATATTTTTCCGAGTCCTCTTCCTTTTCAAGTGCATGAATGCATTTTATGGAAATATGTTCAAGAAAACTTGACTTAGCTCTAGCTGTTATCTGCTGATTTGGAATGTAACTGTCAATTACTTTAGAATTTATGCCGGTTTATGTCTTGTCTTATTATTATAATTTTTTTCTTGTATATTTTTTAAAATCTAGTGGGGTAATTACATTTATATGATATTTATATACTTGTCATTTCTCTCGTGCTGACAATCATGATTATCTTATTTCCAGGTGAGGGCCTAGGCAGCTCCAGGAAGGGTATTTCAGATCCTATCATGGCAGGCAATGTTAAGAAAGATAACTTGGGGGTTGGTGCTGTCCAACCTGGGGAGGTGACTGCTGACGATGACATATATGAGCAGTATAAAAAGCGGATGATGCTTGGCTACCGTCATAGACCCAATCCTCTGGTAAATAGACCTTTGTTTTCAACCCTTTTGGAGTGGTGATGTCTTGAGTAGTTCCTATAACCTGTTTTTTTGTTGTTGTGGTTGTGTTTGTTTTCACAGAACAATCCTCGCAAGGCTTATTACTGAACATCACGGAGGAAGCCTTAAGTCTATATTTATGGGAAAGAGTAACCTTCTAAATGTTAGTTGAACTTGTGTAGTGGTCGTAGGATTTTGTGGACACTTATATCTGGTTTTTGTGCGTTTTTGGAACATCAGATTTTTCTTGTCTTTATGTGGGGGAAGGGGGTGTTGTTGGTATTGTTTATTACGATCACATTTTTAGCGCGCAAAGAATAATGTTTTAACTGTTTGAACTTGTGGAACATGTCATTGATTGCTAGTCCTGCAGCACATGAAGGATTATTAATTCTCAGCTACTTGTTAGACTTGTACTTGGCATTTATTATGGGTCTTGTGTCTTGTCTCAAGAACCCGTTGCAGCCGGAGATGGATTGGATTGTAAAAGTTAAAAATGATGTTGGGTTATGCGTTGGGTTTTATCAATTTAGCCCCATGTGACTTTATATTTTAAAACTTATAACTATTTTGATTATTAGTGAAAAATAATAATTTCCTATCTAAATTAAATTGTTTTATATATAATGTTATATTTATATTGATAAATATTGTAAAACATTTTTTAGTTTAAATTCTTTACCCGTAAAATTATGACTTTGATATTTTTAATGTTAAATTTATGTTTTATCAAAATATCGGGTTGTTCTTGTCTTAGTTTGGTCATTTGTCAGAAGACATGTTAGGATTGGGTTTGGGTTCATAAAATCAGCTTTGTTAAAATATCATGCCAGGTTTTGGTTATGAAAAAATCATCTTAACTCACAAAAAGAAAAAATATCTGAACCCCCCCCCCCCCCCCCCCCCCCTCCCTCCCTCTCTGGATCCATTGCTTTAGCATTTATAATTTCATTATGAAATTTTAAATAAGTTGTATTGTCAATGATTAAGGTGGTTAGTCATGGGAGAAAGGAAAGCCGAATGAATAACATGTTTGGTTCAGTTTAATTCGTAAAAACTAATTATTATTTTTAAAAAACTGTTAGAAAGTTAAAAAAGAATTATTTATTAAAAACAAGTTATTGTAAGCTATTCACATGGACATTTAGGCATAGTTTGAGAGTTTGAAGTGGAAGGAAAGGAAGGGGATCCAAGGGAGAGGGAGGGGAAGGAAGGGAAGAAAATTGAAGGACATTTTCTTTCCTTGTTTAGGAGTTAAAAAAGTTGATAAGGGAGAAAAATAGAGGGTCAATGAGATATTTTTATAATTTTATCCTGTTTGTAAAATTAATATAATTAATATTTTATAAATTAAGTAAAATTTAAAATTTCTAATAAAATTATTTATATATTTTTTACAATACTAAAAAAGATTATATTTTTGACGAAATTTCTACGTTGCAAATAGGGGTGTTAACGAGCCGAGCCGAGCTGTGGTCTTAACGGGCTGAGCCTGTGTTCAAATGTGTCAGACTGACCTTAGCTTGTTACCTGTTACGAATATAATATCAGCCTGTGGCCTGGCTCATTTACAAAAATAAAAGTCTTATTTAGCCTGTTTAAAAATAATAAGACAACAAAAATTTATCCAAACAAAATATACAATCAACAGCACTAGTAATTCCATAAATATTCATAAATTTAATGTATATCCAAATAGCATAATATAAAACAAAATCATTTAAAAAGTCTGTTTAATTAATAAAATGTGATGAAATGAATTGAGAAGAGAGAGAGGGCTATCACAAGTAGTATAAAAAAATAAAAATAAAATAATGTATTAGGCAAGCCTGAGAGGCTCTAAGGCCGAGTTTTTGAATTGGAGCCTGATGCCTTTTTATTAAACGAGCTTTTATACAAGTCCAAGCCTGGGTCCAATAATCAATTTTAGACATGAAAGCTCAGGGCTTCACGAGCCGAGCCAAAGGCCCCTGGCTCGTTTAGCACCCCTAATTGCAAACGATGAAAATTTCATCACAAAATTATTTTTTCGGCGGAAGGCATTACGTCGAAAAGTGACAGAATTTTTTCTCCGGTGTGATTTTTTACAAAAGTAATTTTTCTATCGAAATTTTCGACGAAATTTAGTTGTAATCAAAAGTTTTGACAAAAATGATTCCCTCCATCAAATGTTTTAAACGAAAAAAGAATTCCGTAAAAAATTTTGACGGAGTGTTTTTCGTTTAAAATTTCGATGGAAATTTGTTATGACAAATTTTTTGACAGAAATTGTTTTGTCAAAAATTTTGAGGCAAATATTTCATTTGAAAATGACAACGAAATTTAGATTCTGTAAAGAATTTTGACAGAATATTTTTTTCGTCAAAATTTTTTATCGAAATATTTTTCGTCTAAAATTTTTACGAAAATATTTTCTCTCGAAATTTTTTAACAGAAATGTGTTCTGTTTAAAATTTTGATGGAAACATTTTTTTATCAAAAAAATTGACGAAAATATTTTCCGTCGAAAATTTTCGACGAAAACGTGTTTCGTTAAAAATTTCGACGAAAATTTTTTAATATAAAAAAGTTTAACAAAAATATTTTCGTTGAAAACTTTCGATGAACTATAAAGAATTTTGATGAATTCTTTTCTGTAAAAATTGTTCAATGAAAATGTGTTTCGTTGAAAATTTTGATGGAAATACTTTTCGTCAAAATTTTTGATAAATATATTTTTTTGTGAAATATTTTGACGAAATTTAGATTCCGTAAAGTATTTTGACAAAAAAAAAATTTTCGCCAAATTTCTTGAAATATTTGTAGTCATAAATTTTGATGGAAATATTTTTTTCGTCGAAAATTTTTGCTAAATTTTTTGATGAAATTTTTTTTTGTAAAAGATTTTGACGTAATTGTTTTACGTCGAAACTTTTCGATGGAAATGTGTTTCGTTAAAATTTTGGATGGAAATATTTCCGTTAAAAGTTTTGACGGAATTTAAATTCTATCAATAATTTTGATTGTTTTTTTTTCGTAAAAAATTTATGTTAGTGATTATGACAAAATCTGGCTCTGTCTCTAATTTCGTCTTTAGTTTTGACATAAATTTTTTAATTTTCATCAAAAATTTTGACGAAATATTTTTCGTCGATAAATTCTGTCAGTATTTGAGACTTTTCTATTAATGTCGTGTTGAAAAATGATTCACATTTATGTAGTTTTCACACTTTATTGCTAAGGGTAGATAAGTAATTTTTAATATTTTCTTTCTCAAACCCCCCAAATTGGGGGAACTTTAATTGTAGGAAGAAGAAGAATTTTGGAGGGTTTAGTAAAAATTCTCAATTTCTTCTCCTCATTTTTTTAAACTCACAAACAAAATAGGGTTTACTAAAACCCTCTTTTTCCTTTCTTTCTCCTCATAAAATCAACTCCCAAGCAAGCCTAAGTTAGTGATTGTAACTATAAAAAAGAAGTTATTATTGTCATACAAAAGTAAAAGGAAAAAGTGTGTATCATTTTAAAGCATATAAAGTTATGTCATTTTAAGTGAGAGAAAGAGATAAAACACGGGAGAGAGAGTGGAGGGAAAAAGTTTTGAAAACGTGAATCCCATCTCTTTAGGAGAGTGAAAGGATGTAAGATGTGTCTTTTAAAATCACGCACCTTTTTCCCAAAATAAAATATGGTATTAAGATATTTTTGTAACCGGAACCAAGTACTACTCAATACTCATAGCTGTACCCTATATTTCAACTTGGTTTCTAAAATTTGTATTAATAAAAGTTGTAAATTAAAGTCTAAATTGTTTAGTTGGGCGTTAGGAAAAAAACCGATTCCACAATGTGACCCAGTTGCTTGATTCAGGCTGTGGGCCTTGGCAGTTGGCACACATGCGCTCCTCTTCTTAAGATCGCCAAAGCAATAATTACTATTATGTTTGTTTGGAGCTTGTTTGAATTTTGTTTTTAAAAATAGTTTTTTAATTTTTAGAAAAAGAAATGAAAAATTTATTTCATAAGGTCTGTTTTTGTAAAAATTATAACTGTTTTTTTTATTTTTAGAATCAAATTTAGAGAACATACCTGAATTGTTTTTATTTTGTGTTTTGACTTTTAATTTTAAAAACACAAAAAATAATACAAAAACACTTATTTCATCAACTACTTTACAAAATTGTTTAAGAAAAAAAAAAAAGAACATGATCAAACAGATCCTTGGTTTTCATTTTTTAGTACATTGGTTTCCAATTTTTAAGTCTCGTGTCTTTTCTCTGTGTTGCTTTTTTCTTTTTTTTAATTGATTTATTAAAACCAAATTAATCTAATTCGAACATTAGCAGATTCATCTAAGGGACAGTTTTGGAAATATCATTTTTTCATTCTTAAATCTCAAAATTGAAACTTTTGAAAAGGAACAAGCTACTTATCACTTGAATTAATTAATATTGATTATATTTGTTGCCAAGCAATGCTTTCTTTAAAACGTTAGTTGTTTGCTGTTGTAAAGAATCTTGTGATACACTATCCCAAAAGCTAGCTTAAAGGGTAGAGAGTGTCCAAGACCTTATAAAAGTCACATTAGTTGCCCGCACAACCAATGTGAGACTATATATCTCAACACGTCCCCTCACGCAAGAGTCCTTTTGGCTAGAAGCGTGAAAATTGCACAGGCCCAATTTTTGGTTTACAGGCTCTGATACCATGTAAAGAACCTTGGAATACACCACTCCAAAAGCTAGCTCAAAGGGTGGGGAGTGTCCAAGATTAGTTTCCCACACCACCAATGTGGGACTATATATCTTAACAGCTCTAAAAAAATGAAATTGTTTAGTTTGTTATCTCATATTTTAATTTACAATTGTTGTATACTACGAAATGGTGAGGATCTCAAAATAAGATGTACGATCTACGTAATTAAGTAGAAAAAAAGCGAAAAATGCAACGGCAATAGTTAACCTCTACTTTCAGTGCTTGTTTAAGAGTATTTTTTTTTTTAAGTTTCTGTTCTCCTTATAAATAAAAATTAGGTCAGACAGGTTTTCACAAAGCCTCTTATAATAAAAAAAACTTTTCTATAATAAAGAAAACTTTTCTATAATAAAGAAATAAGGATAAAGCCAAAAACTCTTAAGAAGAGCTTCTTTTAAATTGTATCAATTTTCTTAAAATGTTTATTTTTTAAATGAACAGATTTTAAGCTAACAATTTTATATAATCATCAAATAATTTGTAACTTTATTTTTAATTTTTTTTTTAGCTTTATTTTAAAAATATTTCTAGCTTGAAAAAAAAGAAGTGGCAAATAAGCTTAACATTTTTTCTCTCTCCAATGAGAAACGTACAAACATATCTAGGCATTAATGGAACATATGATTCCACCCTGTTCACTTTAAAAGAAACCTTGTCACTGTTGAATT